CGAAGAATTCATAGCACTTCCATTTACGAGTTTGTTATCATATTCGTTTATATTAATATGTACTTGCCACTGAATACGTTCAAATTTTTGCAAGTATGTATAGCACACAATAGACCTGTTCCAATATATTCGATTTTTTTCATTTATATTTCCAACAATCCTAAAATTTAAATTCAATTGGCAAAATAGAATAAAAATTTAAAGCGTTTTACAAATTCTGATAAAAACCTCTTTCCACACATTTTGTTAATGTTTGTACATGTTAACATATATATGTATATGTAAGGTATTGTCAGTTATTGAACGGAGGGCAGATATTTCGGATTTCAGTCCCTAGTACCTCCCTTTAAGATCACATTAATTCTTTCATTATACTGACTTCTTAGAGACATTTTGGTATTTATAATTATCTGGAATCAATACAATAAGCAATAACCCCTTTTCATGGTGGATATACAAATTGATCTAAGTTATATGTATATAGTTTTTAAGAGCAGGCCTAATGTGCATTGCATCTGCAGCTTAAGAATCTGGATTTCCGTAACGGCTGAAACAAGAACATTAAATTTAATGTAAAAAGTAAAACAAAGAATTGCAAAGATAACAAGACAACGAATATAATAAAAATCTGTGTTGTGGAGACAGTGAAGTTAAAACAATTAATAGTAAGTTTTTCTTCTGTTTTCTTTCCCTTCAGTGCATTTTTCCATTAAGTTTTATTATTTCTTAAGTTTCTTATTTCCTTTTGATTTTTACTCAAGCTTTCCTTATTCTTATGTTCTATTCTTTTTCATCATCCTCTTAAATTAAAGCCAAATGATAAAGGGGAGAAAAATCAGGACACTACAACAACAACAACACGGGTTCATTAGAATAGAAAAAAACATGCTAAAAGTATGGAGTAATTAAAAATTAATTAAGTCGGCAAAAAGCCAATATTGTATTACGGAAATGCAAAGAATAAAAAAATCACAAGACAAACAATTTGCACAGCTTTGTAAGTGAAACTCTAGTACAAACGCTTTTGGCTATTTAATGTTTAACTTTAAAAAAGTTCAGTTGTGTTAAACTACAAGTTATGACACTTTTATAACAGCACGTAAAATTTTTTTAAAAACTATTAAAACTTAAATTAATTGGTTTTATTTTACACCAAATACATGTTACCTGTTTACCTTTCCGCCAAAATAAGTACGAGATTTAATTAATATAATTCATACATTCTTTTCGTGTTTTATTAATAATTTAGAAAGTATTACTTTAGAGATTCAATATTTAAAAAATCATTATTTTGTACTCAGTTGGAATTCAATCAACAGTTTTTGTTTTTATAATATTCTGTGAATCTTTTTATGCTGCACATTGCAATTTCATTTATACTCGCCCTGCATTCAATTTACATACAAAACATGTCTCTGTACTTCGTTTTACGCAGTTCACAAACTTTCAATTGAAATGTTTTTAGATTTCTTAGAAAAGTAAATCAATATAACTACATATTTATAAAACAAAATAGCACACTGTGGAATGTTCCATACTGTTCGTTAAGAAAAACGAGGGATTTAAGGGAAAATAGTTTAGAATGGAAATACAACAATAATCGCAAAGCAACTGAGGATATTTAGATTAATTTAAAACTAAATAAAAACGGTTATACCCTACACCATCATATAAGTTGATTCATTGTAGGTATATGATTTATTAAGCAGCGATTCCGGATTCTCAGGAAATTTTGTAGAGATTTTATTTCTTATCCTTTTTTGGTCGATTTTAATTGCTATACTGATTTTTAAGCCAACTATAAACGTTATAAATGACCGATATTCTTCATTTAATCTATATATATAAAAACCAATGTATGTTTGTTTATTTGTTTGTTTGTACCTTATAGGAGGCTAAACCACTGAAACGATATTCTTGAAATTTTCAGTGTATGTTCCCCTATATCTGGATGGAACTATATGTTACTTTTTATTTTGAAATTGCAAGTGGGAAGGGGTACCACTCCCGCTACTTCAAAAGTCGAATATCTCTGAACAAGGTACAACTAGAGTCCTCAAATTTTTTATGGACAATTTTGACATCCACATGATTATTTGAGGGAAAAATTGGAGTACAAGCAATAGGGGCGTGGCACTCACATCTGTATACACAAAAATGAATGTGTGTTTGAAGACAGCCAAACTGCTGGACCGATTTTTCTGAAATGTGTCTTCTGTATGTCTAGAAGGAACTATATGGAGTCCTCAAATTTTGTATGGACAACTTTGACACCCAAAAGAATATTTTTGGATAAAATGGGCGGAATGGCTATAGTGGGAGTGGCACATTCCATATGAAGAAAATCTTAAATTAGTATATTTGAGAAAATATAACAGATAAAGTCCTCAAATTTTGCCGGAAACACTTTAGTTTCAATATGATTATTTAAGGAAAAAGGGGGCGTACTAGCAGTAGGAGGCGTGGCATGCCCATATAAATTAAATACAAAAATTCGCTTTTCTGGGAAACTATTAGAGTTAGAACCTTCAAATTTTGCACGAAGAACTTTAGCATCCATGCAAATCTTTTGTGTAATAAATTGGCGGACAACCACTAGGGGGGGGGGGGGGCGTTGCTCCTGCCATATGAATAAAATATACAAATATTTGTTTATCTGGGAAACTAATAGAGCTAGCTTCTTATAATTTTGCAGGAAGAACTTTAATATTCATCTGAACATTTTGGGGAAAAAAGCGCGGACTTTTATTAGGGGGGCTTTGAACTCCTATATGAATTAAATAGAAAAATTCGTATATTTGAAAAACTATTATAGCTAAAATTTTCAAATTTTGCAAGAACAACTTTAAAATCCATGTGAATATTTGAGTAATAAGTTGCTTTGTCGTTTGTCAGGGAAACTAATGGACCTAATTTCTTCAAATTTTGCACGTAGAAATTTAACATTTATTTGGATATTTATATATTTGAATTAAATAGAAAAAATCGTATGTCTGGGAAACTATTAGAGAAAAAATCCTTTGACATCAATGTAAACATTTGGGTAAAATTGGCGGACTAGCAAATTGGAACCTCCCATATGAATTAAATAGAAAATGCATATATCTGAGAAACTATTAGAGCTAGAAAAATTTACATGAACAACTTTGACATTCATGTGAACATTTAGAGAAAACTGGGCGGACTTTCAAAAGGACCTTAGCATCTTCCATATGAATTAAATACAAAATATCGTACATCTGGGAAACTATTATATTATTAAAATTTTTGATAGGTTACATTAAAATCTAAATCAACGTTTGGAAAAATTGGCGAACTTGCAATAATTTGCGTGGCATCCCCAATATGTTAGAGTCTTCAAAATCGTAAAGTGTTTTTTATATACCTTGGTTTTAGTGTAGCAAAGCACACTGAGTATAGCTAGGACATTATAAATTCTAACTTGTGCAACTAACTTTCAAAAGGGCACTTCTAATAGAAAATGCAGGTGAAAAAATTTACGTTCATTTCAGCAACCTTGTTCCTCAGCCCTCTAAATCCTCTTATTTAGACGTTACGGACAGACATGGCTATATAGTTTTAGAATTTAATTAGGACCTGTGAGTCATTATTTCTATTTGTAACAAGAGTTATGATAAAATCAATATATTTCCCATTGTTTTTATAGGGAACGTATAAAAATGCAAAATAGTTCACAATACTTTACAACTCAATCAATAAAAAGAACAGTAAGTGTTGTTCTAGTTACTTAGCACAAATAAGGGACATTTTATTTTATTGAATAACAACAGTTTTTTATACATTCTTATCAAACCATAAAATCAAGTTATGTTTTATAAGTAGCATGTGGACGAAATTTTCTATATACTTTACTACTTTTTCTCGGCAGTAATTTAGATAATTAACATAATTGCCAAAATAAAGTTTTCCGTTTCCCACTCTTATTTAACGATCAATCATATTGAAAAATGAGTTAAAAGTTTCCATACAATATACTTTTTTAACAAAGATAAGTAAAATCGAAAAGTAAAACCTATTTTTATCAAAACATATGGTACTGTTTATAATGGGCTACAACATTTTATACAAATTTTAATATAAAAGTAGGGAATAGTTATGACTAAAAAGTGTAGGCATTCTGAGTTATACGGTTAGAGTACAGTTACATTTTAAAATTGAGGCCGATTGAAATTTGTAAAAATTAGTATACCCCTCACCTCAATACAAGTGTCATCCTGAAATAACTTGATAAAATTGCTTCCTTGTTTAAGTTTTATATTACTGAACACTAAATTTTATTTCTATATCTGAACCAAGCCTGTAAGTAGGCCACCTTTCAAAAATTAATATATATTGCGTAATATTTTGCTCTTTTGACTATGAATTAAAAGTACATATTAAAGTCAATATGATCCCCATAAGTGTTAATTTTGAAAGTGACTAAATGACATTGCGAAATAAATTCTATATGTAAATTAAAAATCCTGATGACAGCATTCTTTTTTTTTGCATTCAATTCTTGAAAAGTAGTTTATATACATACATACATATATACATCACTACACAATTATTTTCATCAAAAAGTAATTTATTATCAAATTGTTATTGTGCCTTGTGTTGCACTTGCGGTTTTATAATTTCGATTTATTATGAAAAATATAATTCTGCAGTTAATAGTCGTACTGCATGCAGTAACCATTTTTATTTCCTCTTATTGCAATATGAAATTTAATATTCCATGAACTATAAAATCAATTATATATGCAAATTGAAAATAAAAATGAAGAAAAAAAAAATTTTACAATTTTGCAAAAATATTATGATAAAATAACATTTTTACGTTTGATACAATAAAGCGGAAATCAAACTTTTTCTATTTTTCCACAATTTCTTTTATTACAAAAAATTAAAATTGCAAATGAAACGATTTAATTTTTTTAACTCAAGATTGAATGTAATAAAAACTAAATGATTTTTTCCCTCATCATTTCTATTTGCAGTTCAAATTTAGTAAAAAAAGACGTTAGAATGAAATACAACTTTACAAATGCAACGGAAGGAAAGAAACCGAAGAATGAACAACTTCTGAACAAGTGAAAAAAGGAAGGAAGCTAAAACACAAGCAAATAATACGATAAATAATAAAACATCAAAACAAAAACTAAATCCAAAGAAAACCAGAAAAAATTAAACAAAAACCAAATATAAGTTTAAAAATGCATAATAATACAATGTTTTTAAGCTCGTATTTCAAAATTTGCAACTCATGTTGTATGGCGTGTCCTAAAAATTGATATCAACATTGCAAACTTACGAAAAATAAGATTCAAATTGAGAACATAATAAAATACAGGTCCACAGTAGAAAGAATTAAACCAGAAATTATATTATACAATTTACCATCAACTACCATTCATTCATCATTTTGGCATAACAAAGGCCATCACAACTTTACAATAACACAAGGAATCGAAATAAAAAACATAAAGATTACAAATAAAGACTTTGAAAAATTATACAGCGTAGTTTGATTATGGCAACCGACCATATTCTCATAATAGAAAAACCCTACTTGGACCAATAGTAGTAAGTCTCATTAGAAAAAAATAGTAACAATACAAAACACCATTAGTAGGGGAGAAAAATGTAAAAAATATATATAAGCAACATAATAAAATTAATTTTATTGTCATTGCAAAACAACACCACAACAATACACATTTTTTCCCTTTATTCACCCTGAGAAACAAGAACAGTGGCAGCAGCGGAGCAAGTACAACACTTAAGGCTGACATCTTCCAAGTCTCATTTATCATTTGTGCAACAATTCAACAGAAAAAAAAAAACAAAAATAATAAAACACTATTGTTACATCAGTGTTTTATATACAATTGCAGTTTTTTTTTAGTTTTCCATTTTTCGTGTTTTATTTTCATATTTAAATAAACGTTAACCTTAATCAAAGAAATATAAAACAGCAACAACAACAAAAACATACAGTAACTAACTATAGATAGAAAAGCAACAACGATAACAGCAGAACAAAAAGCAACAATAGCAACGTTCATTGCCGCATCACATCATCGGGACGAATGTTAAGTGTGTGACAACGAGCGGCATCACCACCTTCAACTCCTACTTCCAAACTATACCAACAGCATTGGTTTTGTAACAGGAAGTACAATTGGTGGATCCACTACAAATGTTCCCAATACTAATGCCAATGCACATGCTAGAAATACGTATCATTCTACTTTGCCTGCCATCCATTTTACTGGCGACAACACTGGAACCAGGTGAGTTAATTCGTTTTTAATAATATTAAGTGACCTTCATCAAATGTAAATGTAAATGTCAAATGTACTACTTTGTTCAATTATTTAAAAGTTTTTTAATTAGATCCAAACAAATTGAAACATTGACAAAATTATTGCATTCTTATCAAAATCTGAAAACAATCAACTGCAATTCTTATAAGGCACATTCGAGAATGGGCAGTATTATGTGACATTGTTACATAAACAATATCCATACGTATGATTAATATTTTATAAATGGTTTATAACACATACGCCTCGATTCAAGTATCATGTAATAATAGAAAAATTAATGTGCTCGATTTTCATTTTAATTATTGCCAAACTGACTAATTCTCATAACATGTGTAACAAAACATATGTTTACAAAGTATATTTCGTAAAAATTACCTGAACTATTATGGCTTCGAATTTTTATATCGGGCCCAGGAAAATAAGGGTTTTGCTGCGGAATTTTAGATAGCTAAATGAAAATTGGCACATAGCTCATTTCTTTAGCATAATTAGTAAGGTATTAAAAGTCACCGAAAATATCGTGTGCGCTAAGAGAGATATTGGAGGTCAAAGGTTACACAAATTTTTTTTAGCTAATATATTGTTTACTATGCGTCGTACGCGTTTTGATGTCATTATAATTTCTATAGAGAATTTAATTTTCTACATTTTGGTTGAGGAATACTTTCTCATCACATTAGTTGTTTTCGAGCTATAGTGCATTATTATACCCACCATCTAAAAATATGGGGGGTATTTTTTTCATTGCAATGACATTTACAAATCTTAATTTTTTTAACTCCAATACAGATAATGTATTGATTTTGTCATTCTGTTTGTAATACATCGAAATATTGGTCATAGACTCACAAAAGTATATAAATTCTAGGTCCTTATTAAATTCTATGGGATCTAGCCATGTCCGTCCGTCTGTCCAACTGTCTGGCTGTCTGTTGAAAACACGATAGAGTCCGAACGGAATGAGCTAGAGGGTTGAAATTTTCTACAAATATTCCCTATACGAAGGGTTTGTTTGGCCTTGCAAATGGGCAATATGGGTCCACGTTTAGTTAGCCCCTTGTATGGGGGACCCCATAAAACATCCTTAACGGGCATATATGTTTTAAAAGTGTTAGTATAGCGATGAAATTAAACATAAATAAGTTTCATATGTTCCAAAATCTCCATACGAAATTTTATGAGGTTTGGTCCATAATTGACACTATCCCCTATATAAGGTCACCTTCAGAAAATGACTTTAACGCTCATTACTGGCTTCAAAATACAAGCATATCAATAACATTTGACATAAGTATGTGCCTTACTAGCCAAAATTTATCTACCATCTTTTATATGAATCGGTCCATAACTGACCCTACCCCTTATATAAGGTCCCCATCAGAAAATGACTTTTACGATCCTTTTATGGCATACGGTTTGATGGTGGGTATATGAGATTCGGCACAGCCGAAAATAAAACACTCTCAATTGTTTCTTTCTAATATTAGCCAAAAATACAAAATTAATTTCTGTTACATCCCTTATCACAGCATCACCCTCTGGCGCATAGTGCAATGTCCGTCTATCCGAAATTTCCGATGCGGTCATAGGCCACAATTATGAACATAATTTGAAAAAGGTTTGGCGACATAATCTACAAAATCAGGAAAATTTTTCCAGTAAATTTTATGGAAATCAAACTACGACTTCAATTAGCTATAATATAGAAAACCGACTTTAATTTGTTTCTAATATTAATGTAAACCATAAAATAAAGATAAAATCTGATATTAATAAAATTTGGTGGTAATATTACTCTACCACCAATTTTTCTGATCATAAATATGAGCTGTGAAACTATCTGAAATTATAGAAATTGCACTTGCGAGCTAAATTGATTCAAAAGTCCATAAAGACCAATAATATACATTTTGTTGAGTCTCAAAATAATATTTCTAAAAGTTGCAAAAAGACAGACAATTGATTATATCTTTCTCCACAAAAATGTAAAAACTCCTAACAACTTTTTTTAATTAAAAAGAATAATTTCTAGAAGAAATTTTAACATATGTAGCAAACAACGGTAAGTTAATATTGAGTATTAACAAGGTTTTCAGTGTTTAGTTTCAGATAGCATGCAAATTTTTATTCCGGCTACCGTCTCGTCGGCTAATGGGGTAGGTTAAGAGATACTAAACCCGTTAAATAGAACTTCAGAGTGAATTATTTAACTTTTGCATGCTTAATGGTAAAATCATTCTAGTATGATAGGAAGAATATAGAAAAAGAAAGTTGTATATCCTAGGATTAATGTGTGAAAAATGAATTAACTTGTGTGTATAGTTGTTAACACACTATTACCCCTCCCAACCTTGATCATGTCCATAGTAGCATAAATTTGGAGTATGATCCCATATTTATCAAACCCTTTCTTCTAGGCTGTCAGAAATCTAGACAAATACTAGTTTATAGATTCATTTCAAAATCCAAAAACATTTATTAATAGTAAAAAAGAGAAATAACAAAGTTTAGGAATGTTATTTAAAAATAGAAGTTATTCACATTATGAAAATATAAACATATTTAAATAACTCACAAAATTAAATTAATTTAAAAAAATTAAAATTTAAAAAAAATTAGGTCTTATAAATTAAATTTATATAAAAAAAAAATAAAAGAAATTTGCAAAAGGAAATTATATAGTTTTTCTTTTAAACGAGAGAAAATCAAATTATTTATGCACACTAAATTTTTAAAATAATAAGATTTGTCGCATTTTGATTTTTTTCCCTAGTGGGGTTTTAATACGTAGCCAATATTTTATAATACCGTTAGTTTTTTTTTATATATATATTTTGATATGATTAAAATTAATTAAATGCGTTTTTCTAATTTTCCATGATTTAATTTGATAAAACTACTTCATATTTGGTATCAAATTTTACAATTTTTCATTTTCTTTTCAAATATTATAATATTTTAGTGATTAAATAATATATAAAAGAGAAACCATACATACCCTAAGTTATATTTAACATTGATTGATGTTAACATTTACACTCAATGTTATTAACAGTGTTAAATTTTAACAGTGATCATTAACATAATTATTTATCACTCTTAGGGTAGGTTTGTCTTCTGTTATATATTTATGGTAATAAAAGGAAATATAAAAAACTTTGTTACCTTAATATTTGCAGGATTCCGGTGAAAGATCTTTCCCTGGGTCCTTGTTGGGGTTGAAAATCAGCAAAATATTATAGTTTTGGTGATTAAATAAAGTATTTACACAAAAAGTTTAACATTTTAAAACACCACTTTATAAAAAAAAACCGTGCCTATTTTAGGGGTTGCGAATTCTTATTATTTTTACCTTTTTATAATTTTTTCTTAAATTCTCTTAAAAGTTTATCAATAATATAATTTTTTCCCGTTTTTGTGAACTTTATCTCTCGAAATATTCTCACTTTTGTAATTTTTGTTTATTTTTGCAATTTTGATGTTCTTTACTTTTCTATATTTTGACATTTGGTCGGATTTTTGCACATTTTCTTTTATTTTCACAAATTTCTTTAGCGTTTCTAGTTACAAATTTAACTTTTTAAACAAAATATTGAATAAAATTAAAATTTGGATGCATATTTATAAAAAAAACGAACAAATTATTAAGTTTCGCCCGAATTAAAAGGTAAGTGGGATTATTGGTAAATAATTCTGAATTAGATGTTAATTTTTCTTTTTACACACATATTTAGACCACTGGCTATATCTTTTTGTTTTACTTATAAGAGGATTGTTATTATGGTAAAAAAAATCACTGGTTTGTATTTAAGCTGTTCCTATTTTGCCTGGTTTTCTTTTCTGTTGTTTTTTTGTTTGTTTTAGCTTCACACTCTTTACCAGACTTCACACACCTACTCTCATCGATTGTGAGGTTAAGTTTTCTGGCCAATCCGGCTCTGGCGAAGAAAATCCTTCAAACTACAGATGGAGATTTTGTTTAGGAAGCTCCCGTCAAATTAAAAGGGATTTTTGTATGCTGTTGGGCAAATTAGGAAGAAATTTTTCTATGAAATGAATAAATATAGATTTCCTTGTAAAAATTTACCGGACATTTACCTTTTCTTATTATACTGGAGATTTTGCCAGCAGCGTTTAGAGAAAACAGCATGTGCTGTACATATCTCCGTTCCCAAATCAAGTACCTATCCAAATCCTGGCGAAGACTAATCGGACAAAGGTTTATAGGGATTTTAGATTTCGACTAACAAAAAAAACAAAAAAAAAGACCGTAATTCCCACTAACGTTAGTTCGTTTTACTCAGGATTTTGTTGCCATATAAATCGCTTCACTAGAAAGCACAGAAATACATATTTCATAATTTATCCTAAAATCTTTTTTTTTCTTTAATCCAATATTTATTTTATGAAATTTATAATTCTGTGATAAGTAAAGAGATCGAAGCTTGGCGAAACAAAAAAACTTACTTGTTTTTCACTTTATTATAAGCACAGAAAAAAATGATTTTAATTCTTCTTTTAACTTCCGGGAACACAAGAGCTTAATAGACTCACTCAAAGATTTTAGGCAAAGAGACCGATTCCTAACAAAATATGTCTTTTATACCCCAATTTCCTTGGAAAAATTACGTTAATCCAGCACACCATTTTCACAAATACATAAGTCATAGCATAATCATAATTTCACCGTATACTAATAAGAACTAATACATACAAAAGTATGATGTTACTAAATTTTATCAACCATTAGTAAACCGTTTTACCATCTAACACCCAGCGAAGTATTATGATCTTCTCGTTAACTATATTATCATGACATGACATGATATTTTTTTTTTTTTACTCTTATAAACACGTAAATACCCCAAATATATTTAATAAAAATATTTTATAATAAAATATTAAAATATTGATAAAAAATATCGAATCCTAATAATTTTCAGAATTGTGTTCGGTAATTGCGT